ACCAAATTATACCCCCACGTCCGCCCACATTAATGACAATGTTAGCGTGAGGGTGACGTCACGCGGGAGACGCGTGCAGGGCCGCCCTTAGGGATGTGCGAGCTTTCCGGACGCACAGGGCGCCATGGAGCAGAGGTCGCCCTGCAGCCGACACAGCTCACACATGGCCGGCCGGAATTAAAAAAAAAAATAATAATAATTTGTGGCGGGGCGGCGCTAAAAGCACCGGATAACTGCTGTAGGGGAAGCAGGAAGGAGTCCCTGCTTCCCCACCAAACAGTCTCAAGGAGCTGCACTGCCTCCACAATGAACTCCACAGGTAACTGTGTGATTGTCAGTGTGTGTATGACGGTCTGCCTGTGTGTGTGTGTGTGTGACTGTCTGCCTGTGTGTGTGTCTGTGTGACTGTCTGCCTATGTGTGTGTGTATGACTGTGTGTGTGTGTGTGTGTGTGTGTGTGTGTGTGTATGACTGTCTGCCTGTGTGTGTCTGTGTGTATGACTGTCTGTCTGTGTCTGTCTGTGTGTATGACTGTCTGCCTGTGTGTGTATAACTGTCTGTGTGTGTGTCTGTGTGTATGACTGTTTGCCCGTGTGTGTGTGTGTGTGTATGAATGTCTGTGTGTGTGTGTCTGTGCATGTATGCCTGTGTGTGTGTGTGTCTGTGTATGTGCATGACTGCCTGTGTGTCTGTGTGTGTGACTGTCTGCCTGTGTGTGTGTATGACTGTCTGCCTGTGTGTGACTGTCTGCCTGTGTATGTGTGTGACTGTCTGCCTGTGTGTGTTTGTTTGGCTGTCTGCCTGTGTGTGTGACTGCCTGCCTCTGTGTGTGTGGATGTCTTCCTGTGTGTGTGTGTGTGTTTATGGCCGTTTGACTCTGTGTGTGTGTGTGTCACATACAACCTATACAAGCATATCACACATTGTTAATACACCCATTACAAATATCACACACAGCCAACACATAGCATACATATCACACACAGTCATCACACCTACTATCACATACACAGACAGCACAAACATTACATCATACATGGATGACGGGGCGGAGGGGCGCTTTTGAAGATTTTTCGCACAGTGCGTCTAAAGGCCTAAGGCCGGCCCTGGATGCTTACTTTTCCTCATTGCCCTGTCGTGGTTTCCCTAGTGGTTGTCCGAGAGTGTGTTCCCAAGCGTTTATTCCTGGTATTTGACTTTGGCTTTGTTTGACTTTCCTGTATTCTGGTATCCCTGACTTCTGGCTTTCCCTTATTGTTGTGTCTCATTCTGTACCCCCCGACCTGCGTTACGTCTGGCCATTCTAAGGCCTGGTAATACGTTACCTTTTAGTCCTAGGCAGGGCCGGCCTTAGGTGTTCAGGCGCCCTGTGCGAAACAATCTTGTGGCGCCCCCCCCCCCCTCACCTGTCTCTGTTTGGACCCCTTCAAACTATTTTAGGAGCATTCACAATCTGTTGCCTCCACCCCCTTCTACAAAACCACTGCACCTCTTAACCAAAATCCCTGGCCAGATCTTCACCAAGCCCCTGGCCACCACTTCATCAAACTCCTGGCCACCCCTTCCCCTTCATCAATCCCCTCCCACCCCTTTATCAGTCCCCTGCCCCTCTCATCAATTCCCTCCCACCCTTTACTCAGCCCTCTGCCCCTATTCATCAGCCGCCTGACCCCCTAATCAATCCCCTCCCACCCCTTTAACAGCCCTCTGCCCCATTCATCAGTCCCCTGACCCCCTCACCAATCCCCTCCCCCTTTTATCAGCCCCCTGACCCCCTCATCAGTACCCTCCCACCCCTATCACCCACCTGCCCCCCTTTAATCAGTCCCATGCCCCCCTTTTCAACCCCCTGCTCCCCTTCATCAGCCCCCTTAATACATCCCATGCCAAATAATCCAACCCCTGGCCACCCCTTCATCAGTCCCCTGCCCCCTCATCAATTCCCTCCCACCTATTTATCAGCCATCTGCCCCCATTTCATCAGCCCCCTGATCTCCTCATCAATCCCCTCCCACTCCTTTATCAACCACCTGCCCCCTTTAATCAGCCCCATGCCCCCCTTTTCAGTTTCCTGCCACCCTTTATCAGCCCCCTTAATAAATCCCCTGCCAATTAATGCAATCCATGCCACCCCTTTATCAACCCTTTGCACCCCTTAATCAGACCCTGCCTCCCTTAATCAAACCCCTGCCCCCCTTAATCATACCCTGTCATCCATGCCCAGTCCCCTGCCCCCTTAATTAGACCCAGTGTCACCCATAGCCAGTCCCAGTCCCCTGCCCCCCTTAATTAGACCCAGTGTCACCCATAGCCAGTCCCAGTCCCCTGCCCCCCTTAATTAGACCCAGTGTCACCCATAGCCAGTCCCAGTCCCCTGCCCCCCTTAATTAGACCCAGTGTCACCCATATCTAGTCCCCTGCCCCCTTAATTAGACCCAGTGCCACCCTTATCTAGTCC